CCCTACTCACCCTACGCTGGGAAGGGCTCTCCATGCAACGGGAATTGCGTCAGTGGTCCTTAACATCAGCCCCTCCGGGGGGGATCCTCCCCGACACTCCTCCTCATCAGGAGGAGCTACAAGTGCCAAGAGAATCCGTGCCGAGGAGGTTCAGAAGAGCTAGAGAGAGGTGGCTCCCAGCTACCCAACAGGTGGTCTCAGGCAACTTGTAAAAAAAATGATACGACTTTGAAGAAACGAACTGGAAAGGAAAGTTAAAAAAAAATAAAATAAATTAATCAAAGCTCAAGTTTTCATTCTGGCAATGCGCCAAACAGAGATTAGCAGTGCTCAGGTTGACTTTTGGAAGGAAACATTCTGCATATAAGCCAGGTAAGTGGCCCTGGCATGGAGCTGCCAGGTTCTGCCACATTTGGAACCATCATTTCCAATGCAATTTTGCATTTACTGGGATTCAACCTGGCCGTTGTGAAGTGCAACTCACATTAGAGCCGGGGATGCTCTCGTACCTTACCTACGAGAGCAGGGAAAAAACCTACTCATTTTCTGATTACACAGTTTTTGCTTTAAGGTAGTGTTTAAGTAGCTTTCTTCTGTAGTTCAAGAACTACATGAACACACAACAACCTTAAATTCAGAGATTATAGAACAACATGGGCAAACTGAAAACAGTTTTCAAAAACCATGGATGTTCATCTAAAAACGTGATTTCCCGTCCTTCCCTCCAGCGCCCTTGGAGCACCTAACGTCGTTCTGGCACCCACCAGCACAGACACAGCGGAGGGGAAAGCAGCCTCTCTCAAACTCAGGCCTTGCTAGAACAAGAACCAAACCCCCAACTCATCCGGGATGTTGTCTTTTCCCAAGCAGCGCGGATCGAGGGCGATGGGATCGCTCCTCCCCTTCATCCTCGTGCTCTGGGTGCCACTCACTGCGCCTCCCGCAGCCCTTCACCTTCGGTGAGATGGGTGAAGAAACAAGAGCATCCAAATTAACGTCTGCAACACCTGGTCACAACTGCTCCGCCACAGAGCCACAACCGGAGCAGCCGGTTTTGTGTGTCCGCCCGGCACGGACACAGGACCACCGAGCGCGGCAACCTACAGTGCGAGGGAAACGGCCTCTTCCCTGTTCTGCTGACTCATTCTGATCAACTACGCTTATTTACAAAGCCAAAAACATCCCCAACGTTTGGTTTCGTGTGGTTTTTTTTTAACCAAGCACATAATTTGCACAGAGAAGTGCAATTTCGACCAGTGAGTTCTTAGGGGAGAAAGCCTGCAGATATTCAAGCGTATTCCGGCAAGCAACTCAGCATCAAGAACACGCTTCAAGGCAAAGCCCACAAAGACAGCCAATAGGACATGAAATTTTCGAGCCTAAAAAGATTGCTTTTCATTGCAAGGGGTCAAAGTCTTTAATTAAATAAGGACCTCGAGTCAGGCCATACACCAGACCAAGTTAAAAACTATTTCCCAGTAAACCACCGAGCCACAGGTCTAAAAGGGCTGTCGACGAGGAAGGAATTCATTGGGCGTGTTAATTAGAAGCAACATTTCCTTGGGAGCTTCTGAGACCCGATGTGGTATCACGAGCACGCTTGTTCGCAACGAGCTCACGTGCAGGCGACCAACCCAGCGGCTACAGGAAAGTCTGATTTTGCAAACATCCCTCACCGAGCACCGAGACTGCGTTAAGGACGTTTTCTTCTACCCGGCGTGTTTTAACCCGGTTCCACATCGATTTTGTGCGCTCTGTCGTATTCGGCTCATGCAAAGACAGCAAGGGGAAAAAAACAGATCTATTCGGAAGGATTCTCCGGCAGGAGAGTGCCCTGCTTTTTCTGGGAGTTTCCTTACAGACCGACCCCCTTTCGAAGCAACACCCAGGCAGGGCAGCGAAGTCTGGACGAGGGCTGTGAGAGCCTCTCGACAGAAATAAGGAGAAAACCCGAAGGGGAGATGGGGGTTACAAATGACAGGAGAGGCGTCGCGATATAAAACCGTGAAGATCAAAACGAGAGAGGCCGTAAATTAACCGCCCCAAGTGCCGAGTGTAGGTGCTCTGGCAGCTGGCTACATCCTGGCTCTGTCTCACCTAAAGCAGGATTATTAACAAGAAAAAATACACCAGCAATTCAGCAGCTGCCTCAAATGCTTTCTTTAGCAGTTAAATCTCAACGAACCGCAGTTTCTAGAGCAGTATTCAAACACCATTTGGTTTCAAAATGGCAAAGGAAACCTTCCGATGGTTTCCCCACAGTTGTTCGGAGGAAAAGAAAAACGCCGCGTGAACAAATCCAAACGCGAGACAACGTGCAAATTAGACAACACAAACACAAAGAAAGGTGGTTTGTTCTTAAAAATCCACTGAAGTACTCCACAAAGGTGTTCATGAGAAAACTGAAGGGCTAGGGTAGTATAAAAGCTTTAAAAAAGACATGTAATAGCCAATCTGTCTATTAAAAAATCTCAAATTATCAGAACAAAATTTTAACCCCCCCAATGTTTGTTTCTCTTAAACATTTGCGCCGCTGCCTCCTGCCCGCGTGGCGCTCGCTCGCTCCGTGAGAACCAATGAACCGGCTTCACTTGAAGATTCTCATGCACTCGGAAAAAAAAAAAAAAAAAAAAAAGCTGCACTACTTGGTCTTTCAGCATTTCAGGAAAACGACTGAACCCACACCGAAACAGAACTGTGCTTGAAGTTAAAACCGCTCCCGCCACCACCACAGAGCCCGTTCACAGCCGGGGCTGTGGCAAACTACAGTTTGCGGTTACGTCGTCACTGCAGATCGGGCTGTTCCTCAATTTACTGCTCAAAGATCGGAAACTCTCCCTTTTGAATTTTTCAAGGTAGGTTTATTTTAGCTGAAAACCAGCGTTAACGAGAACTCCAGCTCTGCGGGACTCCACACATCATTCTACGTACCAACCCTGTATGGGCTGCCTTTTTTTTTTTTTTTTTTTTTTGGTTCTTGGCTTTGTAAACTTGCTTAAATAGCAACATGGGAATAGAAGGAGGAATAAAAGAATTGGTTTGTGCACTTGAGTGAGAATCGTGAACTTTTAAAGGTCTTCGACAGCTCAGCTGTACGGAAGAACGGTGGCTTCTGTGAAACTTTTTTAAAATCTCATTTTTAGGCCAGTACCACTGCTTAAAATGCAGAATGTCTCCATCACACTTATACCGTGACAACTCAATACATTACACCACAGACATTTAACAGAACTCCATACATGCTATAAAAAAAAACAGAACAGAGAGGAAAACAAAAAGAAAAAAAATAAGAAAGGAAACAAATAAGACCGTAGCTAAACTGCTTTAAATACTGCATGCTACAGCACTTCACGTATCATCAAGATACGACACTGAAAGGTGACAAAAGGCTGAAGGGATTACAAAATATTTTCGGCAGGTTGGAAAGTTGCCTTCTTACTGTGGCAGAATTATTCCCCCTCCCCATTCTCTACTTCTAATGTTCATGATTCTAGTGTTGAGTTGGCCATGTATTATTTTGTTTGTTTTCTTAAATCCATTCTAACGACAGTGTTTCCTTAACTTAATTAAATCCGTCAGTGTGGTAGCTGGGGTGAGAGTCAGCTGTGAGCTGGGTTGTCTCTGTGGCTGATGCTGGCTGTATCACAATAGGTGCGTCTGAGGCCTCTGAAAAGCGAAGACAAAAGGCTTAGCAAAGCAAGGGAAAAAAATCAAACAACCTAAAAAAACAGCATTGGATGTTTTGGTGAGCATCGGTTACATCTCCCTGCAATGCTCTGATAACACGATTTTATGCTCCTCTAAGAGCACGATGTCAATTTGCTGTTTCTCAGTTCTGCACACAGAAATGTTTGACTCGAGTCCACATGAGGAACGTTTATTTTATCTCCTTCTTCACGTAAAAGCAGCTGCTCCTGGCTCAGCGTTCAGCAACGCGATCAGAGCACACACAAGGCTCCAGGATTTTTTAAGAGATCCCTTTAAATCTACAGAAATAGCATCACCTCTTCCCAAACAGGATTAAGGCAGAGCCACCAGGGTGGGAGTCCTGTTTCATTTATGCCTGACGTAGTTAACAAAGCTGCCTGGACACACTCCCCCGATCCTTTGGGGTAAAAAAGCCCCTTTCTGGGATTGCATGCTGGTCATGTTACTCCAGTGAGGAGGGGAAGGAGCTAACCGAGGGTCACCAACTGCCCTGAAGTCGACCCCACCAAGCTCAGTGAAGACCCTCCAGGAGTTTTCTGTCACTCCAGTGCTGGCATCACCCACATAACACAACTATTACAATCCTAGAACAGTTTCAGTTGGAAGAGACCTTCAAGATCATCGAATCCAACTTTCGTCCCTCGCCACTGACCCAATCCCTACGAAGCTGGGACTGCTCCTCAAGTGGGAGGTGAATTGCTCGGTCTGAGACTGACGGCCGTCCCGCAGCTCTCTCGGCGGTTTTACCTACCCCTTTCATCTGACTGCAACTGCGCCTCCAAGTCCTCTGGCGAGACGTAGTACTCCTGCTCCTCACCTTCCGGAGGTTTAGGTTTACACTTCCCGCAGCAACAATTGCAACAACAACACAGGCAGCAACAGCAATAGCAGCCGGTGATGAGCCCGCAGAACACAAACAAGGCCTGCAGAGGACAGAGAAACAGAGAATCATAGAACAGCCGAGGCTGGAAGGGA